ACTTATCTTGAATTTACTTATTGTACAATTTGGTCATATTTTCTTGACAATTTTAGCATATAGTATTATAAAGTGATTTTAATTGTGTAGTCATATGCTTTTATGGCCCAAATTAAATCCACCTGCATTTTATATCAGAATTGCAAATTATAGTATCTCATTGTTTGAACTTGCTTAACATGCTTAGTTCATTTTATCATTAGCCTTTTTTAAATTATTACCCTTTATAAGTCACTTTATAATTGAATGATCTATAGGAAAACATATAAGTTAGTCATTCAGTGACCAAAATATATTGCTCGTAATATTTGTTCTTTCTTCAGAGTTCCTGGCCCACAGATTCCCAAATTCTTGAAATTTTTAAGTGTCAAGAGAGATAATGGTGTGTTTTATCTTAAAGAGCATTGGAACCAGTTGCCAGGATAACCAACCATGTGATTTTAGAGAGTTGAAACTTTAAGTAACAACCCCCCCCCATCTCCAGGTGGACAGGTTTGGAGGTGAAATCAATTGTCAATGATTTAGTCAATCATGGTGTTACAGGGCAGGAAGAGGGGCACCCTAGACCCCGCAAACCTGTAAGCTCTAAATAGAGTCTGCCATCTGCTGCGTCAACAAAACATATGAGACTTTAATTGGAAGAAACTTTAATACAATTAGGAAACAATACTGGAAAGGCAAAGACTATAGTTTCTATATCAAGTACCCAAAGTTACCGTCCCCTCGTGGGTAAAAGTCCACCCAAGTAGGATTGGCCCAGAACAAGGCCCCGGAGCCTGTCACAAGTCTAAAGCATCTTCCAGTGGAGACCCACAGAAAAGGATCAGAAACAACCAGAGAAATCCGGAAGGAAAAGAGCAAAATCAAAATCAAGGCAAAGGCTGCCATTATCACCTCCCCACAGGTCTCTCATCCACATGTGTCACCTAGTCCAAGACAAAGAGGCAAGTATAATTTTTTTCACGTGTCTCTTGGCTCCATGTGCCTCCTCTAGGTCTCCTTTTGGCTCCATCCTGCTTCCTTTCTTCCTCAGTCTCCTCGGCAGCTGCTTCTTCTCCCCGCTCAGCTCCACCCTACTTTTGGGTGGGGCAGGAAATCTGAAACCTCCCTCTTTCCTGGGGACCACCCTGTTACAATGGTTGTAATGAAACTTCCTAAAAAATGCAAAAGGACAGAGTTCAGTTATCTCCTATGTAAAATGTTTCTCTTAGTTCTTTGAGTGACTCTAGAAAAGTATTGGAACCAAAGGAGGGAGTGTGGGAACCTCTCATTTTTAACTAGTCCATCAGAGGTACAGATAACAATCTGAACTTAGATTTGGCAGCTTAAGATTGCAATTAAAATCTCCAGTTTACAGCTGGTCAGTGAAAAGCATGGTAATAAATAACCAGGCTGGCAACTGTGACTGAAAGGTATGGAAGTGTAAGAAGGTTATCCCAGGAAGCATCTTGTAGATCTAAACCCCTAACCTGTGTCATCTGTCATTGTGTCTTTGTAAATGGTTTTTGAATTGAGTTGAATCATAGAACACAAGAGAATTGCTTGTTGGTGATGTGGGAAATCCCCCTCCACACACGTTGGAAATTTGAGTCCTGGTGTTGAGTATCCAAGTTCAGTCTCAAACCACTCAGAAGTCAAACACAAGAGACAAGACCTATTCTGGGAGATGGCTGCCTCACAACCTAGAGAAACCATCTTGGAGCTTTGATAGGGTTTTTGTAAGGATGTCTTGAGGAAAAAAAGCAGAGTTTCAGCAAGTTCCCTCTGTTATCTTTAGCCATTGTTTGCAAATTTCCATTTCAGCCAGTCTGTTAGATTGGAATGGGTGGTCTGGTTTTCTTTCTCCAAGATTCATCTGTCAACAAAGAATGATGGAGCAGGGAATGATGGAGGTTTTCTTAAGGCCTTTTAAGGGAGTTAATTTGTAGATGATCTAAGACGCAACTGAGTATTTTAAAGGGTAGAGTAATGACTGAGGCAGAGGCCTTTTCCCAGTTTGTATTTTTTTTTTTTTAACACTTTCACCAGAACACCTACTCACACTTTATTTTAGATATTTTTGATACAGTTTACATTAGGGTTTACATATGTATGCCTTCGCATACTCCCACACTAATTTGAAAATCATAGTTTTATCAAAATTAGTTAATCCTATTTACTGATATTTTTCTATAACTTCTGTTGGTATTTAGGAATTTTTGTTATTTTGTTTTCTCTAATAACTCTAATTATTCCACAGTCCGTTTCCTTATTTTTTATTCTTATGTGTGTTTTGTTTTCTTTAAATCAAGACTATGGCTCATCTATTAACCCCTCAGTGTAGATATAGATGAGCTTGTTATATATACACCTTCCTCTCTCTTTTCTCATTATTACTGGTTAATTTTTGCATTGTCAGAGTAAATGACATTTGCACACCGTTCTTCCACCTATTCTGTACTATTATTTAAATATTAGATCTACATTTAAATATATCAAGTGATCAAAAACTGGTTTTTTTTCTGGTTTCCCCAATAATTCCTGAGTCAGTAACCTTGGCCAGTGACCACATGTGGATAATTTCAAGACATTTCTAATTCAATCTTATAGGTAAAGAAAATAGTAAATCTGTGCAACACAGACAAATCATTTACCTTTGATAAGTCATTTATAATAGAAAGAAAAGCAAGTTGCATTTGTTGTTTCAGCACTAACTTTACAAGCAAAACAATAAGGCAACAATTTTTTTCAAAAAATATAGAAAATGTGGACAAAGAATTTTAAAATGACCCAGATTTTCTGATCATGATAGAGAAATTGGAAGCAGATTTATCCATTCCTTTTCAAGAACCTAAAATTTTTAACTAAATATGTAAAATGATAGTTTTCAAACATTGAACAACAAGCAAATTCTGACAATGATCTCTGATAAAAGGGAAACAATAACTTCCAGACTAGTTTTTGATAGAATTGAAATTATTTGGACTTCAGGTGACTAGAGTTCACATGTAGAGAGGAAAAAGCTACATAGGTAGGTGGAGGGCACAATTGCAGAAGAGACAGACAGAGACAGATGAACAGAGAGAAACTCCAGAGATGTACAAAGGATCCTCATGTCTTCATCTGAACACTCATCAGGTGATGTGTGTGAGAAAACTCTTTAGGGTTGGTAAAGAATCCCTGGAAAATCACAGTTGAAACAATTCCTGGAATGTAATGATGGTAATAACTCATGTTTCCATTACCCAGAATGGAAAAACTTTGTAATATACTGAGCATCTGATAGAGTACTCAGGATATTGCCTGAGCAGTGAGGCAAAATTAGTTGTAGAATGAAGGCTGTTCTGAGATCAGCACTCTGATATTAAAAGGTGAAGATATTAAAAAAGAAAGAAAAATTTCAGAGCCATGTTCTTATAAATGCAGAAGTGTTAGCAAATAAAACCGATAGTGTATAAAATTCATTGTAGAATTACTTAAAATATAATATATAATTATATTCGGTTTAGATTCCATAATCAGCATACCAAAAGATTAAAAGAATAAAGATAAAAACTTCATATGATCAACTCAATAGATGGAGAAAGTATATTTGATGAAATTCAACACTCATTCATGACAAAGATTCTCAAACATCTAGGAACAGAAGGGAACAATTCGGAGAGATTAGATGCATCTCTTTAACATCAGAACAAGGCACAGATGTTTGCTTTAACACCTTCTATTTAGTGTTTCCATAGACAACAACTCATGTCCATGGAGTAAGGCAGCTGCAGCATCAACAAATATTAATAGCTTATAAATTGGAAAAAGTTTTAAAACTGCTTACAGATGCAGTGACTCTTTAGCTTAATAAGATTACATGATTAAAGGTATCAGCATTTACATATGCATTGTTTCTCTATGGATTTGAATTAAACTATTCAAAATGAAGTTTCCAAAAACTCTTTGTAATAACATCAAGAAGAAACCTGTTAGGAATGAATTTTAGAGAAAATAGGAAAGGCATCAACATTGCCGATAAAATAAAAACATTTCTCAGAAATTAAAGATGATCTTGAAAAATGAGTAAGTGCAATCAGTGTTCATTCAAAAGACTATATTCGTAGATCTAAATAATTTGTGCATTCAACAAATTTCTACATACTATATAGCTATGTTTCAATTGACATTGTGTTGATTATAATGTATTAATGATAATTTATTTGCAGATCCAACAGATTTATAGTAAAGATCCATTTATCTCTGTCGAAATTGATAGTTACTGTAAAATTTATATTAAAATACAGATGACCTAAAATAGCCAAAAGAATCTTGAAAAAAAGAGTTAAGTTAGCATATTCACATTATCTCATTTCAAGACTTACCATAACCAATGTTTCCTCAACTTAAAAAAAAATGATTTACCATAAATAGATAGTAATGTCACAGAAATACAGATAGTGTGGTATTAGCATTAAGATCAACAAATAGATTAATGTATGAAAGAGAGGTTACATATATATAATAAATATGTAAGCATATATTTACATCCAGTTGATTTTCAATAAAGCGCCAGTCTATCAGTAATGTTGACCAAATGGATAAATCTATAAGATAACTTAATCTCTTCCTCACACAATAATGGAAATTAATTTAATATGATTCATAACCTAAACTTTAATGCTATAACTATAATAATGCCTTAACATTTGCTTTTCTTTTTGTTTCTCATTAAAGAACTATTTTTTCCAGAGTTTTTTTCTTCTACTCTTGTTGCTGATACCCATATGCTCAGAAATACTAACAAGACTTGCTTTTCATTTTCATTTACTCCACATCAGTATGAACCACCACACTGATCTTATGTTACTATATTAACAATATAATCTGTCAACTTTATGTGTGAAATTGGAAACTGAATTTTAATTCAAACAATTGAAGAGTGAGATTTTGAAAGGTCTGCCTTTTGATATATATATGATAAAGAAAGTTTTGAATCTAAAATTAGTTATTAGTAATTCTGTGCCTCTTATCTACAGGAGAGAATGTTTAAATTTTATCAAGTAAAACATATCTTTGAAATACTGGATAAAATGAGATGCCTGCGAAAACGTTCTACAGTATCATTCTTGGGAGTTCTTGTCATTTTCCTTCTATTTATGAACTTGTACATTGAAGATAGCTATGTTCTGGTAAGTAATTGAGGTTGTTTATTTTGTGTTTTAAACAGGGCTTTAAATAAAACTAGGCTTAGATTGTTTAGTTGCAACCTAATTGTAATATAATTAAAATTGAGGATGTTGAATAGCATCCATTAGTTTGAGCAAAGTTATAACTTGTATAATTTGTATCTAATTTTTGTATCAGTTATATATCACTAATATCAGAAGTGTTTTAATTTGTGTTACAATTTTTTTCTTTAATGCTATATATATATATATATTCTGTTTTAAATATGTGTATATAATTTCAAAGAAGCTATGACTGTTGAATTAATATTATGCAAAAATATTTTTGAGCTTTAATTTTAAATATATGTAATAAAATAAACTTAAAGGTATTTCTTTTTACTTTTTCTATGTTTCTATGTAATAATAAAAATTTTTACAATCCCATTGTCTAATTAGTGATGCTAATCGTGCTATTTGTTAAGATGTGATATTTTATTATAATGTGTGCACCCCATTTGGATTTTGAATAATCCTAAATCACAACCAGGATACATATTTATAGTCACTGAAAAGTAATTTAGACGTTCAAAAACTAAAGCTGTTATTAATGTGGAAACTATTCAGTAGTTAGAAAAAATATTAAAATTACTAAATAATGATATATGAATGATTTTTAAGGGAATTATGGAACTATTAGGACAATCTGGAAAATCATGAGAAATTAATTTGTTGCTATTATTTATTGTCATTATAATTATCACATCATTTCATGTATGATAAGAATGAATGGATATTATTTTTTCTATCTGAATTGAACTAAAGATAGCTGAAAAATCCTAACCTTTATGTGATTATTCCTAATCACATATTTCCAAAAATCAAAACCTTTTGATTCACAGAGGACTAAGAAGTATTTTCCATCATGCAAAATGCTTAAATTATTGTCTTAGTTTTAATTATTGTCTTAGCAAAAAAGAAATTTTTTTTACATGTTTTTATTTTTTATTTTTTTTAAATAATAAATTTTATTTTTATATTCCCCATACAATTGCAGCCCCCCATTCTGACCCCAATCCCTCCCCTCCCGCCCCCGCCCCCCTAAAAGTGTCTCTGGTTCATAGTTTTTTGTTGATTTTGATTTTCACTTTCTTATAGTTATTTATTTTCCTGGTCCCTTATTTAAGTTTTCTAGATTCCTGCTATGAGTGAGACCATCTGGTATTTTTCTTTTTCTTTTTGGCTTATTTCGCTGAGCATGATCCCTTCCAGCGCCATCCATGTTGCTGCAAATTGCATGTGTTTATCTTTGCAAAAAAAGAAATTTGACAATCACCACAAAGAATGTTTCCCCATACAATATTTTATTTTATTAATTGAACATGATTTATTAGCTACCTAGTATTTGCCAGATGCTACTATATATCCTGTGGACCAGCTATATAATCTTAGTTGATACGAATCCTTTTAGAGATCTGTCAAACACCTTGCTTACCATTAACATTGATCTTTTATGGTGAAATTCTGTCAGATTCCTAGATCTTGACTCTGCTTTGGCTTTGTACATCAATTATAGGTTTTGATCTTGTGATCCTTTTATTCTTCCATCTACTGTCAATCCACAATGACTAAAATCACCATAGATTAATAGAATTTTACCAAGCATGTTTTACATAAACATAGCCAACTGAAGAAACTTAATGATATGCATTTTGGATTTTCAAGAATCCAACTTTTAAGTTTATGAAATGTAAGGACAACAGAATAAGTCTCATGTGATTCAGCTATTCTTTTCTTTATAGAGTTAGAGATCATAAATTAACTAGAAGGTTCTTGATTAATGATTTAATTTTGTAACAAAAATTTATTTCTCACATCTGTGTTTACCAGTAGAAATAAATCACATCTTCTAAATCAAACACATAGCATTGTCAGGATGCTTGTTGTTCAATGACTTTCTGCATTTATGAGACACTTTAAAGTGCAGTTTCAACATTGTCATATTAAACAGAAAAGACCATTGTATGCAGCAAACAGTCTTGAAATAGAGCCTCATCAAATTCACTGTAAAATGTGTAGGAAGTAATAGAGTATATATCCATAAAAGATCAAATACCATTACTCTGTTTTGTGAAATTTTATATGTTCCTATCTAAAACATCAGTCCTAGCCATCAAATGTAAAAGATATAAATGAAGTTTACATTTGCTAAAGAGTAATTTCTCAATGTAATTTTCTCTGAATATACTAGGCATATATTTAGTTAAATTTGCAATTTGACACAGGTATACAGAAGTATGTAAAATTGAATTATTTTTAAATACATACATTAACTTGGAAAAAGTGACTTAAAATGATTGTCAACTATAGCCACTCCCATTATTGTAAATTCAATGACAGTATTTTATTAGTTTAATTTTTCACTATTTACTAGATGATGTATTCTACCTAAATTGCATTTTTGAGGTAAATTTATCCCAAGGACTAATATGTATGATGATTTTAAAATTTTTAAACCATTAATGTAGAATTAAATTTAAAATTGTCTTCTAAAAATGTTTCATATCATGTAAAACTGCCCCCCTTGTAGGATATAATACAGCTTATTTGCTTCTTTTTAATGTTTTTAACCTCTTATTTTCACTTTTCATAAAATTATCTGGCTTGATTTTCTTTCTTTGCTGCAGATTGGCACAATGTGTGCAATTTTCTCAGTACAGACATTATTGAGAAATTAGTAGGTTCCTCTTTTTTCCGTTTCTTTTATTTCAGGGAGAAATAATAGTTATAATTCAGAGAAATCAGATAAACAATTAAAAGTAGTAAGGTCTCTGGAATTACTTAGTACATTCTATTCTACTCTTTTTGCTGAAAAAAAAATCGATTGTGACCTGAAATCCTGAGCATATAACAGTTAAGACTATTACATACATATTAAGGATATATGTATCTTTCAGTGAGAACAGAAGTAGGTTCAGTGTAAGAGACAAATACTATTACAAGGCAAACTTAAGTAGAACAGATGCTACATGCCCAATCAACTTAGCTCCTCAAATGTGATCATCGTCAAAGTAGCCACAAGAGTATATATTTAGTTTGTAGCTAGTCCATTGAATTGCATTCTGATCCAGAAAATGATTGTCATAAAGCTTTGTTTTATTATTGAGAAAATTCACTGTTGTATAGTAGCTACAGGAAGAAGGTATCCAGGGATACCTATCACTGTTCAGGTAGATACCTCTGGAAAGCAGCCAATAAGACAGAATCCAGTAAAAATTACATTATTTATTTATGTTGAAAAGTGTGTAGAAGCTTGTTCTTGAGAATTTAATAAAGTGCTTTCATATAAGTTTTGTTTCATTTTATATTCTGTTACATCCTTCAATCAGAATGAATATACTCTGTCTTATCACTGAAAAAAAAATTGAAATTTTATGTGTCCATGTTAGAATTATCAAAAAGATATGCTCGGGCCTCCCCGGTGGCGCAGAGGTTGAGCGCTGGGTTGCGAAGCTGCCCGCAGCCTCTGCGGCGCCGGTTCGAACCCCGGCTGCTCCCCGGCCACCGGAGGAGGGTCCCACATGGCGCGCAGACCTCTCCTGCCGCCCGCTGCTCCCCTCAGCAGTGTACTTCGGCCCTTCTGCCTGCTCTGCTCCCCGCTCTGGCTCTGGTGAATTTTCTCACCCTCCCACGCTTCTGACTGTACCCAGTGCATGTATAAACAAAACAAACAAACAAATAAATAAATATAAATAAACATGCCTCTATAAAATTAAAAAAAAAAATTAAAAAAAAAGATATGCAATATCCTGTACTTTCTTTAAAATGTAACATCACACAAGAACAGAGTGATGAAATTAATTCAGTATTGTGATTTTTATAGCTTTTTCTTTTAGATCCTATGGTCACCATCACATTAAATGTAGTCAATGTGCAACTGAGTTCCCCGTCTACTTTTGGCAATCCTAAATTTATTTTAAAATGTTAATGATTTTTATAGGTTGCAGTACAGGTAATTGAGACTTCTATGACACCATATATTATTGTGTAAGGAAAAACTTTATTTAATACATATTTTTTCTGCCTCCTTGGCACTTAGGAAGGAGATAAACAACTTATAAGGGAAACATCTACACATCAACTGAATTCAGAACGTTACGTGCACACTTTCAAAGATTTATCTAATTTCTCAGGAGCCATAAATGTTACTTATCGCTACCTAGCTGCCACACCTCTACAAAGAAAACGTAAGTATTCTTAAACTTTTAAAGCAAGAATACATAAAAAAAAAAATTTGGTTTTAAAGAATAACTTATTTCATTTGTATAGTAATAAAAGTTTAAGTGCTTTGTTAATATAATATAGTCTTTGGTAAATATTTCAATGTTTCTTTACTTTTGTGACTAATCCCTGGTTCAATTCCATTAGTAAGAAAAAAAATAAATAAAATGGCTAAGTATAACATGAACTTACAATAGTTTGTTGTAGAATCATACAGAGGGACTAAAAAAAGACAGTATATTTTTAAAAATCATCTATGAAACATAACTATTTCCATGATTATGTTAAGACAGAAAGTAAAAAATAATTACTGGATAGTATCTTTGATATGTGTAATATAATAAAGAAAGCAAATGAACTAATAAAATACAACAAAAATAACAAAATCTGGTGGTTATCAGATGGAAAAGGAAAGTGGAGTGGAAGGAAGGTGTAAAAAGTGTGAACTTGATAGTAGGAATTGGGTGTGGTGAGATATGTATATATTGAGGTGTGTGAAATTGTAAATCTAAAATTTTAGTAGCTTTGGAAAGTAAGTAAATAGGTAAATACAAAAATAATTCAAAAATTAAAATTTTGACCCAATAAAAAATAAATATATAAATAAATAGAATCATTATGCCCATATTAATGATTAACACATTTACTAATTATTTTCAAACTCATGCTTTGGTTTTATGACTTGCCAGTAGATATGAAGTAGTGAAAATCAATTTATTAGTCTCCATAACAATTGACCACAAACTAGGTGCCATAACAATTGACCACAAACTAGGTGGTTTGAAGCAACCGAAATTTGTTCTCTCACATTTCTTTGACCAGAGTCTGAAATCAAGTTGCTGGCAGCATCACCCTCTCAAAGTTTGAGAGAAGAATCTTTCCTCACCACTTCCATCTCCTGGTAGCTCTTTTTCATTTCTTGGTTTCTAACAACATAATTACAATTTCTGCTTCCATCCTCTCAGGCTTTTCTTCCTCTGTTTCCCTGTTTTCTACTCTTTTTATAAGGACCCCAGTCATTAACTCTAACACCCACTCTAAATCCAATATGATTTCATTTTGAGATCCTTAACTAATACTATCTGCCAAGACCCTATTCCACTTAAGGTCACATTCTGAGGTTCCAGGCAAGCATGTATTTTTGGAGGAAGATATTGGATTCTCTGCAGGCAGTCTAAATTCAAGATGTAACACACTATTTCATGGATTCTGAGACACTGGACTATTGACAGTATCATGATGTGCCAATAAGAAAATACACCAATTTTAATGGCTAGATACCATCAAATGTAACATGCAAACCTGATTTTAAAATATTTCTGTGGGGAAAAAAGTGAATCTTAGAATCAATGAAATACAGTGAACTTCTGTTTAAAAGTGTTTATGGGGCCACGCTGGTGGCATAGGGGGTTGAGACACAACCTATGAACCTGTCCACAGCACGAGTTCGATCCCCAGCCAGGGAGCTGCCCACATGGTGCAGACTCTCCTGTCTAGTCTGCTGCTCCCCTCAGCAGTGTATTTCAATCTGCCTGTTCTTTCCCCACCTGTCTCTGGAGAATCCTCTCATCCCCCGCACCTCTGGCCTGTACTCTGGTTCTTGTATGCATAAATAAATAAATCTTAAAAAAAAATGTTTATGCAAGTGAGTTTGTGATCACCAGTTTGATGAAATTGTCATTTCCATATTGCGTTTTTTAGATCTTTCATTTTCATTTTTAACCCTTTCAAATGTCTACTTCTCTTAAGCTTTCTTCCATTTGTATAAGACTGCTACTATTTCTTCTCCAACCATTATAATTGTGCAAACATTACTAATTCCCCTTTTCCAATCCAAGTTTACAAAAATGTAATGATACAGTATGTCATCTGCTTTTATACTGAAGAGGCAATGTAGCACAGAAAACAGAAAATAAGAACAAGGAGGTTGGAATCTCAGCACCATACAATGTGTTATGCTTTGCCAGAGTTGCTTCACCTCACTGTTATTTGGTTTCCTCACCTATATTGTAGGGATGACAGAGAATAAACCTTTCCTCCCAAAACTGTAATGAACATGATAAAATGCATAGACTACTCCTTTTATTTAATATGTGTTCTATAAGTATTGGCTTTTATATAACATATGTGGAAGCTGCTGACTTCAGTTTGTTGCAATCAGATAGCATACTTGTCAGTAGAAGCCAAGGTTGTAAGCCTAGGTATTTAAATGAATTGCATAAATACCACTCAAAAAATCTAAAGATGTTTCTTGGTCTGGGCTTTTTCAATATCATATAAATCACATCAAGTGGGTGTCTGTATTACTACAGTGATCTTTTCCATTTTCCAAATGGTATTTCTGAAATTCCATTCAGTTGGGTCTCAGTAAGAATGAGAGCTTTAAAAAGTGAAAATATTTCAATAGAAAGACATCTCATCTAACACTTTTCACAGGCGAACTGTCATTTCACAGGGTTTTATTTTATTCCCTGAAAATATCCAATTTCTAATTGCATATTTAAGAACATGACTAAAAATTTCTCCCCACATAATTATTATAAAATGTGATTTTAAAGTAAATAAAACCATAATATTCATGTCTTGCAACAATGTATCATGTATTTCAACAATTACAGTTTTTAAAAAAACTTATATTTTTGCATTCTAACTTTCTAGGTAAATTTCAAAATATAACTGAAGTCCAATTGTGATTTATTTTTGTATAAGATAAAGAAAGTGATCAAAGAGAAATGAAAACATGTTTTCTATAAAAAATTCTAATTTGTTTAAAAGAATGAGTTACCCTAATTTTCTTTTTCATCATCTGAGACTAGTTTGTCATCCTCTACTGTGAATATCCTTTTCCTTTTGCAGGTTTTGTTTTTAATATTTGTTGTATGGCTATTATCTAAATATTTGTAATATGGCTATTTTCTAATGGGCATATATGAGAATATTAAACTGCATGACACTAAATATTTTATTTAATAAACATGTTAACAGCTATAAGGTTCATGCATCATTGTGCTTAAGATGCAATGTATTTTCCATAGAAAATATAAATTATGTATAAGGTCCTATAAACTTTATATCTTTAGCATAAAAATTTAATCACAAAATGTTCTATTCATCAGCATTCACTAGGTTCATCTAATATAGTAGCAGGCCTAAGTAAAAATAGCTTTTTTTTTCCTTTTTCAGTGTTATTCAAAACCTATTCATATTTAATTTGTCTTCCTTTTGAATTCTTTTGCTCAGGGTTTCTTACAATTGGACTTTCATCTGTGAAAAGAAAAAAAGGAAACTATTTACTTGAGACAATCAAGTCAATTTTTGAGCAATCCAGCTACGAAGAGCTGAAGGAAATTTCAGTGGTGGTTCATCTTGCAGAGTTTAATTCATCCTGGCGTGAGGTCATGGTCCAGGATATTACACAAAAATTTGCCCACCATATTATTGCTGGAAGATTAATGGTTATACATGCTCCCGAGGAATATTACCCAATTCTGGATGGCCTTAAAAGAAATTACAATGATCCAGAAGATAGAGTGAGATTTCGATCCAAGCAAAATGTAGATTATGCTTTTCTACTTAATTTTTGTGCCAATACTTCGGACTATTATGTAATGCTTGAAGATGATGTTCGATGTTCAAAAAATTTCTTAACTGCCATCAAGAAAGTCATTACCTCCCTAGAAGGAACTTACTGGGTCACTCTTGAGTTCTCCAAGCTTGGATACATTGGAAAACTTTATCATTCTCATGATCTCCCACGTTTGGCACATTTTTTATTAATGTTTTATCAAGAAATGCCTTGTGATTGGCTATTGACTCATTTCCGGGGCTTGTTGGCTCAGAAAAATGTGATTCGTTTTAAACCATCTCTCTTTCAACACATGGGCTATTATTCATCATACAAAGGGACTGAGAATAAGCTGAAGGATGATGATTTTGAAGATGAGTCATTTGACATTCCTGATAACCCTCCTGCAAGTCTATATACCAACATCAATGTTTTTGAAAATTATGAAGCAAGCAAGGCTTATAGTAGTGTTGATGAGTATTTTTGGGGAAAACCACCATTAACAGGAGATGTCTTTGTGATTATATTTGAAAATCCAATTATAATTAAAAAAATTAAAGTGAATACTGGAACAGAAGATCGGCAAAATGACATTTTACATCATGGAGCCCTAGATGTTGGGGAAAATGTTGTACCTTTCAAACAAAGTAGACAATGTCTTACTTACTTAAGACTAGGGGAATTCAAAAATGGAAACTTTGAAATGTCAGATGTAAATCAGAAAGTTCCATTTGATATCCATTGTATAAGGATATATGTTACAAAAACACAAAAAGAGTGGCTGATCATTAGGAGTATTAGCATTTGGACTTCTTAGCTAATTAAATCCATACAATCAGTAACTGAAGCAGGTCTTCCTGTTTCCTTTCTTGCTACCTTCCTGTTTGCTACCTTTGCCCTTTGGAGGGAAAGCAATAGATGGGATACTTTAAAAGAAACATCAGTAATCTCGGCAGTTTTGAGTTAAACATGGTCAACTTAATTTTACACTGATACACATTTGTATTTATTTTTACATCTGAAGTTTAATATCAGTCCATAGTTATTACTACTGTTATTTATATTTTTAATGTTATCATATTAGTTTCAAATTTTCAATTGAATGTCAAAACTGTGACATGGAGATTTAAAATGAGAACATTTAGTTTATTGGATGGTGAGTCTTGAATAATAACTACCAACTGTACACACCTCCTCAAGAATTGCTCATTTAAGTTATCATCAGATAGCTTTTAGTAAGTATCTATGTGAATATGCAGTTAATTAGAATGATAATTTGTTTTTTTTTATCTTGTTAACCTAGGTTTCTATAGACTTCTGTTCCTCTACAATGAATACCTCCTCATAGAAGTGATGTCTTTTCAAAAGGATTGTGTGTGTAGGTGGATGATGGAAAGAAAAAAAAAAAAGACTTAAAAAGTATCTCTCCCCTGATTATTTATATTAAAGGGGACATTGTTCATTGTATTAAAAAAATTTAATTGAGCACCTATTGTTAATAAATTTTCTGTGGGAAGCAGTCTTTTTCTAGTTTCCCTTTTGCAAAAAAGTAGTTATGCTCAATATTTTCAGGTTACATTGGGTAACTGCATTTAAGAGAAAAAAAAAATTAGAGAGGGCTTGTAGTTAGTACATTCTTACAGACATTTTCAGTATATGCAGAAGAATTTTGAAATTGATTTTATATGTTTTGTATTAAAATTCATGTGATTGAAATCATTGTGATTTAGCATATACTTTTTTGGAGTTCAATTGGACATCTCATAAAGGAGAAACATTAAAAAACATAAAAACTAGTTGACATTTTTATACTCAGAGAAGGTTCAGAGCAAAGCCAAAATGAGAGATCATGTGTTCTGCTATCAGGACAATGTTCTTTCCCTCACATAATTTATGTTTTCTGTTCTCTATTACTATATGAGTCTCAGATATTAAGTTATGCTATCTGAAAATAGCGAGTATAATTCTTTCACAAGTCATGCTATTGTTCTGTGGAATAATCCTCATGTTCCTGAGTAATGCTCTGGTGATATATGTACCCAACTAGAAAGTAAATGCCTAATTTTATTTTAAGAATTTTTTAAAGATTTAGTTATTTATGCATACAAGCACTGGGGTACAGGCCAGAAGTGTGTGTGGGGGCGGGGAGGTGTGTGTGAGAGGATTCACCAGAGACAGAGCGGGGAACAGAAAAGGCAGACTGACAAAATACATTGCTGAGGGGAGCAGCGGGCGAGACAGGAGAGGTCTGCTACACCATGTGGCTATCTCCCTGGCTGGCTGGGGAATTGAACTCTTGCTGCAGTGACTGTGGACAGCTTTATAGGTTATGTCTTAACCCCTTATGCCACCAGGGAGAGCCCCGCAAATGACTAATTTTATATAAAAGTAGGCAATTGCATCTACACCCTGTGTCCATTAAAGCAATTTAGGACATCTTAGTGAATCCTAAAAATATTGGTCTTTAAAAACCCCCTGAGCTTGTCTCATTCTTTTTATTTTTGACAAACAACCAAAATGAAATATTTGATTACAAAGAAAAATGAAGAATATTTCGTAAGTGTTGACAGGGAGATTCAGCTCTTTTTATATGGATGAATACTGTGAACATCTACATGTGTTAAAGACTAGACTTGTGATGTTGAGAAGGAAGGGGGAATTCTTCCTGCTCCTCCCTACACACTGAAACAAAATCCTTAGGACTCACTGAATTGTTGCAGTCCAAAAATAATTAGGAAATATTTTATTAATTCTGTCCAAATCATTTAAATGAGAAACTCAGGTTAAAAATTAGGGAATATTTTTCTTTTGTTGATATAAAATCTATTGTGTATTTTCTTTGTACACAGTTGCTTTAATGTTAAATAGAAAAAAGATAAATATATAAATATAAATTTTTTTGTGGACCAGCAAAATCTTAATGTCATACAAAATTATGAGCACTGACACTAAGTTATTATCTTTGTTTTGACTTGGATATTTGACAGACTTAAAAATATTGTATTTTCATATTTTTTCTGATTCTCTTTTATTAACTGTCTAGTTGCATAATATTCTTTATTTATCTCAAAAATTACAAGTAATCTCTGCACTTTCAATGATAAAAGTTACACAACAACAATATATAATGTCAGGATGTAGGCAGACTTCTTTAAGTGAGTTATAAAATTTTAAATATTTTTCTGGGAGTGTTTCCAAAGGCTAGTCATTGACATCTACTTCTGGAAAACTCTTCAAGAAAGATTACTGAGGATAACAGTGAAGTTGAATGTCTACTAATGAATTATAATTGCAAATGATAATCCAAAATGTGATCCAAAAAGTCACATTTCATCTTAAATTTGATCCTTTCACTACTGAGACCAGGTTTGAATGAGCTTATCAATCACTTAGGTTATGTTTATGTTTTCTTTAAAAGTTGACTGTGGATCAACTTTCTAAGAAAAATATTTGACAAGGAGAACTTCTCCATTACATTAAAGTGGGGGTGGGGGTGGTGAATAACCTTTCTCTTTCAAAAGAAAATCTGACCAAACATTCCTTACATGTTTCAATATCATATTTCATACATTTAAAAAAATATTTAATAAGATTCCAGTAACCTTATCTCAGAGGCATAAATCAAAAAAATAATTATATTCAATCTTCTAGGAAGCATTATATCTCTTTACAATACTTATTTTAGTATATACATTATTTTCCTTGCTACAAATAGATATTGAAAAAAACTAGAATAGGACATAAATAATTAAGATATTTTATTGATATGAAAGTAAGAGACTGACCGGTCTCAAGCACAACATGTGGTATCTATCTAAAGTAGTATCTCAATTTGTATACGTTAAGACCAAAAATGTTTTTACTTTTAAACTTATTTTCCTTAAGGGTATCTTTTCAAAATTTATGGACAGCACAGGAAAGCATCTTGTAAAAAGCACAATAAAAATTTGGAAAATATACATTTTTTTGAAAATACACATTTTAGTAGCAATAACAAATGTGGATATAAAAAATGTATAAAAGGTGTTCATGTACTTTTGCATTATCATTGAAAAATTATAGCCTTGTGCAATTTATTTAGATATTTTCCAGTTATAAAAATATAATGTGGAAATGATTGTGTCATGTAGAACTATTTCTCTGATATAGCTACATTTATGAATCAGAAATATTCCATATCTTACTGAGTCAGTTTCTTGGGAAGTTCTTATAAAGCTACCATAGAAAAACTGTGCTGTACAGTAATTACGTATAACTATAACAAAGATTTACAAATTATAAGGTATGCAGGAAAGGCACTTAATCTTCAAAGCCCATATGGCAGACTTTACCCAATATTTGCCAAGATTTGCCAATATTTGTCAACACATCCTTTAGAACATAAAACCCATGCCTAACACTGAAAACACTACTTTCTGTCCTCTAATGAAATAAGAAAACAGTGCACTTTTCTCCCTTTGCCTTGCCAGTACATGCATTAATACAACCTAAGATTGCATTTAATTCTATCACCGTACTACTGGCTAATAGAAATCCAGTTAAACACTTTATGATATTTATTACAAGGTCTACTAGTAAAATATGATTTACTATTCTGCACAAGTTCAATTGATTTTTTGAAGGCTTCTTTGAAGACAGTGTTTCAAGAGAATGTCATCTTGTTTCTTCTCATCCATGATCCCACACTGCAGGTCTTGGCTTGTCATTGAGTATGTTAACAGTTTCCCAGTTTTATGTTACCACAAATTCAACATGTACACCTTTTGTCATCATGGTACATGTATCAGAAGGGTCATGTACACCTGACTTTGGAACTCAAGCTGTAATTACTGGCCTCTAAATATAAAGCAAGTTACTTAAGCTCTTTGAAACTCAGTTCAGCATCTATGAAATTGTAATAATTTTACATTATCAGTTGTTGCATTATAAACTGAAATGAGATAACATGAACTAGCCCATCAAGAAATATATTTCCTTTTTTATTAATCATGTTATGTATATGTAAAAGATATGTCCCCATAAAACACTTCATCCTGACCAGTAACAATGATTAACTTCACTACCTATTAAGAATGTCACCCAGCACACTTTTGATATTTTATCCAAAAAAAATCACATAAAATTATGTGAATCCTTTCCTAAAATCAAGATATATTCCTGCCATTCTCATCAATTACTATAGAAACTTTATCCAAAATGTATAACATTTGTTATCAAGTTCCCAGTATGAACATTAATAATTTCTATTTTTTTAAGAACTCTAACTCCATTTATTTTGAAAAGCAAAGAAAAAGAAAGCATCTTTTCATTTCTAAAATTTTGCCAGAATCAACATTAAACTCACAGAGCAGCAATTTTTGAATTTTTTTTAAAAAATTTTAATGTAAACTTCCTGTTCTCCACTATCTTTCATCACTGAAAAATATTACTGGAACTGTGACATTCAAATTTGGAAACAGGCAGCTTATATCCTTTCTATGCTGAGTTTTAATGTTTAGATTTCTGCTGTTTTGACTTTCGTCTCTGTTAATTTTAGCATTATTCTTGTTATAAAGAAAAAAGCAATAACACCTCTAAGAGTAACAACATAACTTGATTAGTTCTTCCCTTTTGTTTGCTTTTAACATTTTTTATCTACGCTAAAGAAAGGGATCATTTTAACATATTTTTATATTCTCCAAAATCATTGCATCATTGTATAATGTGATGTGTCTTAATATCTCATTATAAATTATACCCTTTCTCCATTCTCTCTCTTGTGTGTGTGTGTGTATATATGCACATGTGTACATATAAGCACACATAAATGTGTGTGCATGTGTGTATACACACATGTGCATACATATA